GGCCTCAGTAGGGAAAGCATGCCTCGGTTTAAGAACTATTTTGGTTTAAGCACAGACTTCCAGAACGGATTAAGTTCGTAAACCAAGGTACCACTGTATTACAAACAGAATACAATTGCAACTAACAAGAGTTGCAACAGCAGGCTTTCAAGTGCATCTAAAAGGAGGAAAAGAGGGGACCCAACTGATCTATCCAGGGGGACCCCTACTAAGTTTTGGCATTGCCACTCATAAAAGGTCCTGCACCTCATAGCTGGTGCAGGACACCCAATTCCAATCTCATGGCTTAGGCAAAGAAGACACTTAAAATTGACTTGACCCCAGGCCATTAAAACCATCAGCACTTTAAAAATGAGCCCAGAAGTAATGTAGTTGATAATATAAGAGTGGCATTACAGTGGTACCTCGGTTCTCGAATGGCTTAGTTGTTGAACAAATCGGCTCCTGAACACTGAAAACCCAGAAGTAAGTGTTCTGGTTTTGGAACGTTTTTCGGAAGCCGAACGTCCAAAGCAGTTTCCACTTGAGTGCAGGAAGCTCCTGCAGCCAATCAGAAGCTGCGCCTTGTTTTTCAAACGGTTTCTGGAGCTGAACGGACTTCTGGAACATATTAAGTTCAAGAACCAAGGTACCACTGTATATCCATTTGCTAGGTTCCCAATAGCATTCTGGACCCATACTTTGTGCCAACTAAAGAACAGTCTTTAACAGCAGCCCCAAACAGTGCAGCCTCATGCTGACACAACCATCCTTCAGCATGCACCATTCTTCTGTGCATGGCAACCACAAAACTTTCTTTCTCTCCCTCTCTCAAAAGATCAAAGGAGTTGCCTTTTAGAATATGCAAATGAACAAGTTAAGGGGCTCCATTCATTCACTCTCTCTCTCATTCTCTCTCTCTCCACCATGCCTGGTTGTGTCTCGAACACATCTACTCTTGCCTAAAAGAACTGAGGATTCACTTGCCTAGGTTCTTGTCCGTATGCGAAAACAGAAGTCTATAGGAATGTGCCTGGACCCGGAAGGGTTAAGCCACTATCACACAGTGGCAAATATTCCCCTTTTGGGGCAAGGTACTCAAGAGGAAATCAGCCCTGAGTACTCTTAAGGAAATCAGCCCTGAGTGCTCACTGGAAATCACTGGAGCCCTGAGTGGAAATCACTGGAGCCCTGAGTGCTCACTGGAAATCAGCCCTGAGTGCTCACTGGAAGGACAGATCGTGAAGCTGAAGCTCCAATACTTTGGCCACCTCATGAGAAGAGAAGACTCCCTGGAAAAGACCCTGATGTTGGGAAAGATGGAGGGCACAAGAAGAAGGGGACGACAGAGGACGAGGTGGTGGGACAGTGTTCTCGAGGTTACAAACGTGAGTCTGACCAAACTGCGGGAGGCAGTGGAAGACAGGAGTGCCTGGCGTGCTCTGGTCCATGGGGTCACGAAGAGGCGGACACGACTAAACGACTAAACAACAACAACTCAAGATGGTGGCTGTCCAGATTCCAGCACACTTGGGGGAGGCTGAATAATGGGATACATTTCAATGTGACTGCAGTGGGACCTGGCTCGTTCTTCATGCCTTCTCCCCAGCTTTTGATACCACTGACCACAGTATAATGGAGCAGCTCAAGGAGAAGGGGGTTGGGGGCACTGTACTTCAGAAAATAGTGATGGGGGGCACTGTCCAATGCGATCAATGGGAGTTGTCCTGTGGTGTCCCACAGGGTTCTATCTTGCCTATCATTAACATCCATATGAAACCTCTGGGAGCTGTCATCAGGAGATATGGAGTGTGGTGTCACAGATATGTAGATGACACCCAACTCTGTTCCATCTGAATCAGGAGAGGTGCCTGAGATGCTAGACAGGTGTTTGGAGGCAATGATGGGCTGGATGTGGGCAAAAACTTTGAGGCTGAATCCTGAAGAGACACAGATGTTATGTGCTCCAAGTTCTCAAATCCAGGAGATGGGAAGATGGCCTGTTCTGGATGGGGTTGTACTCCCCCAGAAGGAACAGGTTCATAGCTTGGGGGTACTCCTGTTCCAACATTGTCACTGGAGCCTACAAATGTGTATTTGCAGCGGTAGCTGTTTCGTCAGCTACAGCCCCTTTGGGACTGAGATGCCTTGGCCATGGTACTCCATGCTTTGATGACTTCCAGACTAGACTATTGCAATGTGCTTTATGTGAGGTTGCCCTCGAAGATGGCTTGGAAACTTCAACTGGTTGAAAACGTAGTGGTCAGTTAACTGGCTGGGGTTGCCTCCTATAGCCTCATTCTAAAACAGCTGCATTGGTTGCCAGTTCATTTCAGGGCCCAATTCAAAGTGCTTATGCTCAAGTGTAAAGCCCAAAGTGACTTTGGCTCCAAATAGCTGGAAAACTGCCTCCTTCCCTACAGATTCTCTTGGGTGTTAAGCACAGCAGAGGAGGCCCACATAGTAGTTCTACCTCCTTCAAAGTTTGGGGGTAGTATTTTCTGTGGCAGCCCCTGCTGTGGAATTCACTCTGCACAGAGGTGACTCTGGTACCTTCATTATATGACTTTTGGTGAATGCTGAAGACACATCTCTTTACCTTGACACCTGAGATAACAAATGTAATAATAATAATAATAATAATAATAATAATAATAATAATAATAATAATAATAATTACAAGAAGAGCCAGATGCTGAAGGTTGCCGAGGTGTTACCTCTTAACCTTCCATGAAGAGAAATTAACAATCACTAACAACTTGCTCTGTTGGGCAAGGAGCAGTGTTAGAAACTCAGAAGTATAAACTAATCACCAAATGACACCTTAAACCTAGGTTACGGTCGCCTCAACAGAATGTCTAGGTGCCATTTTTTCACCAATGAAGTTTCTTCTTCTTCTTCTTCATTTCATTTATAACCTGTTTTATATTTTAAAGCAAAAATCTCAAAGCCGTTTACAACACATTGAAATATAAAATAAAATAATCCAGAATAAAACAAATTCAAGCTTCAAGGAAAATGTTTCAGATCCTTCTCTGAGTTACATTTTGCTTTCCCCATTATTTATTTATTTACTTAATTCATATAGCTGCCCCATAGCATAGGTACTCCAGGAAGCCAGTGTGGAGTAGTGGTTAGAGTGTTGGACTAGGACCTGGGAGATCAGGGTTCAAATCCCTACTCAGTCATGAAACTCACTGGGTGACCCTGGGCCAGTCACAGCCTCTTAACCTACCTCACTGGGTTGTTGTAGGGATTAACTGAGGAGGGGAGTAAACTACGTACTCCTTGGAGAAAAAGGTGAGATATAAATGCAATAAATAAGTTATTCCGCTTACTTGCTTAAGGAAGCTGGAAGGACCTGCCAGATGGAGATGTCAGTCTGCAACCTGGCATCCAGAAATCACCATGTGGTCACAAAATGCACCTGACTAATTTCTAACACTGGGACGGAGGGCTCCTTCGCATGGAAAAAAGTGAACAGAAAAGAGTCTTGTGCAAATTACAACTTCCCATGGCCGCATCTCAACATTGAATCACATGCAAAGCAGCCACAGAGCAATGAACTCCAGCATGTGCTACCATACTATCCAGTAAAATCAACTTTGAAAGCGCATTGCCTTCATTTAGAAGCGGCATTTAGCAGCAGCGTAGTTTGCTTTTGCTGCTTCTACAGTTTCCCATACTCTGATAAGAGGAAGCAGCTTAAAGTCTTCCACCCACGTGAGTTGCTATTATGTCATGGTACTAGCAATTCATGACACACCTCCCATCTGGCTGAACATCATGTGTCTAATTGCTAACCATGATGTAACAACTACCTTTATACGGACAGAATCCCTTATTAAACATTCACTTGCAGGAAGGGCAGCGGATGCTTTCAAGGTACAGTGGTACCTCGGGTGAAGAACTTAATTCATTCTGGAGGTCCATTCTTAACCTGAAACTGTTCTTAACCTGAGGTACCACTTTAGCTAATGGGGCCTCCCACTACTGCCGCGCCATCGTTGCGCAATTTCTGTTCTCATCCTGTAGCAAAGTTCTTAACCCGAGGTACTATTTCTGGGTTAGCGGAGTCTGAAACCTGAAGTGTCTGTAACCCGAGGTACCACAGTACCCAGCTATGAGCTACAGTTTCCAGACTGAAGTGCAGGCAGCTGCTCTCTAGAAGCTCCCACCACTCACTTGGGCAGTGAGAAAGCAAGCATAGCTCCGTTGGTAGAGCATGAGACTCTTAAGCTCAGTGTCGTGAATTCAACTCCCAGATTAGGCAAAAGAATCCTGCATTGCAGGGGGCTAAGACTATATGACCCTTGTGGTCTCTTCCAACTCTACCATTCTAAGACTTAGAGGCTTTCCCAAGAGGGTTTTGGCAACCATTTCAAGACACATGTTTTTAGGGAGACTGACAAGGCAGAACACAGTAAGAGGAGTGCACCCCATGATGACCCCTCAAAATGGCACGCAGCTGTGGCTCTTCCAACTATGTTCTATAGTCAACCACAATTCTAGTTTGCTCACCCTTTTGCAGACCACCACCTATAGCAGTGCCTTGGTCCAAATGCATCCCACCCAGGAATCAAATTCTGGTCCATTCAGTTTTGTTCACCCCCCCCCCTTCCATTCTTTGAACACAGTCACTTGCAGAAGAGGATAGCAGCCACTTCTTTTTAAACATTAAAAGTTTACACTGAAAAGTGGGCTGTCTCTCAGGTTACTCCTAAGAAGCCTCTCGCTCCTCAGCCACTGCCCTACACTATTCCTCACTGTAGTTTCAAGGAGCATCTGAAAGTACGCAAGGAACCCACAGGTGGCCCCAGATCCACACTTCTGCCAGTGCCACAGTGGGAGCTGAGCCACATTTCACAGATCATGTGCAACTGGGCACAACCCAAGAGTGCACATCCTCTTCAATATTGCAAAGGGTCCCGGGGCTCCCGTCACTCCCAGACTGAGCAGTGCCACAGAAGCCCGGCAACAGAAGGAATCCCTTCAAACAAACATCTAAGAGGAACACTTACCTCTCTCATGCACCCCAGTTTCTTTTTCTTCAGAGCTTCACATTTCCTCATCTTGCAGACCTGGTGGCTGGTTCTTCGATTCACACAATGGGTGCAAGTCCCACAGTTTTCCTTCCTTAAGCAAGGTGTGCAGAGCCCACAGCGCTTTCGTTTCTTCCGGGACTGGGAGGCAGAGTCCACACCAATGCAGCCCTCATTCTGCACTGTTGTTGGGAAGCCACCGCTGGCTGTGCTCAGCATCTCACTGAAGTCAGGGTAGTGACAGGCCCCCTCCAGGGTGCTGCTAAGTGGCGGCGCTAAACAGACCTTTTTCATGACTTTGCAGTGGCAGAGAACGGCAATGGACCCAGTTTAGGGTGATGCCCTGTCATGAAGCTGTGCAAGACTTTGTACTCTTCAGAACAAAGATCTCAAAAACACCTTGGTGAATAATTTGGGTTACCTAATGAGTCCAACTCGCTCCAACAACAAAAAAGATATACTATTCTCCTCGCTGTACTTCATCTACATTTCTTTCCCGATATTCTCTCTCTTCCCAGGGTGCTACACCCCCAAATGGTGGGATCTTTAGGACAACAGAGGTCAGAGATGCTCTGAACATGGACCATCCTGGAGGGAAAAGCACTTTGGACAGGGTGAGGATCAAGAAAGAGTTCAGTTCGAGGCTCCACACCTGGTGGTCCAAAGTCGCACTTCCTCAGCAAAGTATTCTAAAGAGGAATGGGGCGGGAGTGGGGGGCCATTACTCACAGCACCCCCTCCATATGCACATCAAGGTTGGAGACACACGTCAGCCCAAGCTCATTCCACATCGAACTGGTGGCAACACAGCACTCTTGGGTTTCCAAGACAGCAAAAAATTTTAAAGTGTCGTTTTGGATTTGTTTTGAGGAGAAGGAAGCTCTTCCCTGGGAACGCCCTTTAAAAACTTTAGAAACGCCACCCTACCCCACCCCCACGCGAGATCCCGGCGGGAATCCACTCCCTGGTGGAAGGATCTTCCTCGCAGGCAAAGCTTGAGAGAACTTTTCTCCCTCCTCCTTTTGCTTTCTAAAAGACTCTCATTCCGCCAGAGAGAAGCGGGGGTTGTGTTTCGGGCAAACTAGTCTCTCGGCTGCTCAAGCCCCCAGAAGGAGCTTCCAAACGCCGCCCCGCCCAAGACACAAAGGAGCCCTTTATTACCACCAGCACCAGCCGCCGCCGCCGCTGCCGCCTCCTCCTGGGAAGGGGAACCGCTAGGATCGGGCCCGTTGGGGCGGGGGGGGGGAGGCCGGGAGCCCCCGCCTGCAGCTTGCTCGGCGGCGGCGGCGGAGGGAAGCGTCTTGCAGGCGGCGGAGCAGGAGGAAGCGCACGTTGCTGCTGCTGCTGCTGCTGCTGCTTCTTTGTTCTGGAGGTGCCTCTCTCCCCCCCCCCCCCGCGGTTGCTGGGCGGGGGCTGGGCCGGGCCGGGGGGAGCAGCGAGCGGCCGGCTGCCGGCGCGGGGCTGACTCAGCGCCGCCCGCCCGCGCCCTGCCAGCCAGACGGGGGGCGCGCGGCACCGGCGGCGGGGCGAGCGCGGCTCCGGACCGGCCGCGCCTCGGGCTCGCCAAGTTGCAGCTCCGTGACCCGCTCCTGCCCTCGGGGGTCCCCGCGGCGCGGAAGAAGGGGCCCGGCCGCGGACGAGCGCTTCTGGGAAGGAGCTCCTGGCGAGGCAGCGGGAGGGCCAGGGGTCCCCCGGGTGCAACCGCGTGGCCACAGCCGCCCCTCCCCGGCCCCGCGGCGCCTTCACACGAGACGCCTCAGCCGCGCTTTCCAGCCTCTCTCGCGGGAGAGGAGGAAAGGAAGCCGGAGGACCCTCGACGGGCATTTTAAAAACTTGTTCGGGCCACACGCGCGCTCCGGAAAGTGGCAGCGCTCTAGAAATGCTTCCAGCTTCTTGAAGAGCCGAGCCTGTTCCCGCATGAGCCATTCACACGTGCACCCACCAGGGCCCTTATTGGGCATGAGCGCGAAGGGATTCTGCTCCTGCCCAACCTTGGAAAGGGGCAAAGGGCGGCAGCTTTCAGGGGCTTTTTAAAGGGGGGAGGAGTGAAAGGGTGGCCGTGCTGGGCCACTCCAGCCGTCCAGGAGGGGCTCAAGTGATTAAACTTCATGCACGACAGAATAGTAGCATCATATCAGAGGGGAAAGATGTAACCTGGCCACTAGAATCAGTGGCGTAGCGTGGGTTGTCAGCACCCGGGGCAAGGCAAGTAATTTGCGCCCCCTAACCCGTGGATTTGCCCTAACCCCAGATGTTGCGGCCGGCCCCCCCTGCACCCCCCACGCTACGCCACTGACTAGAATACTACTTGGTTGTGTCTGAAATTTTTGAGGGTTGGAAGAGCATCCATTCAATTACAGGTCTCCCCTCTCCCCACCTGCAGATTAAAGTGGTACCGTCCAATCACACCTTGACCATCTCAGTGTCAAGTGGACTGGATGGGCCTTTGGGATGATCCCAGCAGACTCTTATTGGGTTTTATGCTAAGTTCGGGCAGTCTCTAACCAGGCATATGCACCCTTTCCCAATGAAGTGTATGGGGGGGGAGCATGGCTGTTTCCAAAAATACATACAATGTAAGTGAAAAATCAAGAAAAATAAAAGTTTTGCTCAGAAGAGGAGATTGTGTGTTACATGATCTGCACATCACCATGGGCATAGCTAGGATTTACCCCCAGCTACGCCCACACACAGCGTCACAGGTCCACCGTAGTTCTGTATTATCTCATAAAATAAGTGCCTGGTGTGCTCTGGTCCATGGGGTCACGACGAGTCGGACACGACTCAACGACTAAACAACAAGAAGCAGTACAGGAGTTCGTCACACACTCTGCAGTTAAATCAGTTGCATCTTGATTTGTGCTGCTCTGTGAGGCTTGCTTGCCAGTGAGTAGGAGGGTGAGGATCTAGCAAGGTTCTTGTCATCTGGTAATGCTACTAGTTGACCACCTTGTTCTCCTTACAAAGCTGCAATTCTCAGAGTTCCCTCAGGACAGTTAAACCACTGTGGGAATTGTAGCTCTGCGAAGGAAACACAGGTCTCTTAACAACTCTCAGCACCCTTAACTACAACTCCCAGAGAAATCAAGCCTCATGAGGAATGGTTGAGGGAGTTGGGAATGTTAGCCTTGAAAAGGGGAGACTGAGGTGATAGGATAAAGGTAAAGGTACCCCTGCCCGTACAGGCCAGTCTTGACAGACTCTAGGGTTGTGCGCCCATCTCACTTAAGAGGCCGGGGGCCAGCGCTGTCCGGAGACACTTCCGGGTCACGTGGCCAGCATGACAAAGCTGCATCTGGCGAGCCAGAGCCGCATACGGAACGCCGTTTACCTTCCTGCTAGTAAGCGGTCCCAATTTATCTACTTGCACCCGGGGGTGCTTTCGAACTGCTAGGTTGGCAGGCGCTGGGACCGAGCAACGGGAGCGCACCCCGCCGCGGGGATTCGAACTGCCGACCTTTCGATCGGCAAGCCCTAGGCGCTGAGGCTTTTATCCACAGCGCCACCCACGTCCCTAGGTGATAGGATAGCTGCCTTCAAATATATAAAGGGCCACCTCACAGAAGATGAAGTAAGCATGCTTTTGCCTGCTCCGGAGGGGGGAGGACGCAAACCATTTTAAATCATAGGAAAGTAGGTTCTGACCCAGGCTTCCTCAGCCTCGGCCCTCCAGATGTTTTTGGCCTACAACTCCCATGATCCCTAGCTAGCAGGACCAGTGGTCAGGGATGGTGGGAATTGTAGTCTCAAAACATCTGGAGGGCCGAGGTTGAGGAAGCCTGTTCTGACCCAGTGGTACCTCGGGTTAAGTACTTAATTCGTTCCGGAGGTCCATTCTTAACCTGAAACTGTTCTTAACGTGAAGCACCACTTCAGCTAATGGGGCCTCCCGCTGCCACCACGCCACCACTGTGCAATTTCTGTTCTCATCCTGAAGCAAAGTTCTTAACCCAAGGTACTATTTCTGGGTTAGCGGAGTCTGTAACCTGAAGCATCTGTAACCCGAGGTACCACTGTACTGGGATGTGGTGAACTCCCTACTGGAGGTTTTTAAGCAGAGCTTAGATGGCCATATGCCAGGGATGCTTTAGCTATGATTCTTGCATGCAGGGCTTTGGACCCTCAGGGTCCCTTCCAACTAGCGGCATAGCGTTTGTGGTGGTGCCTGGGGCAGGAGGGTGGCTGTGCACCCAGGGGGAGCACTCACCCAGGGGCAGGGGGCAGAGCATGAAGGGTGAATGAAGCCCATGCCCAGCCCACACCGCTGCTGACCCCCTACCAAGCAAGGCTGTGCTGCATCCCTGCCTGCCCGCAGCCCTTGGAGGGTACAACAGGCATGCACCCAAAGGGTGCATTCATGCTGCCCCGAGATGCAGCAAAGCTGAATGAGGACACAACAGGCACGTGCCCTGAACAGGAAGGGAGCATGTCTGTTGCATCCTCCTCGGGCAGCCCTGCAGCATCGCAAAGCAGGGCACGGCTGGCAGAGCAGCATGAGTGCGCTACGTGGGAGCATGCCTGTTGCGCTTGCCAAGGGCTGCAGGTGGACAGCGGCACTGCAGCATGCGGCTGGCAGGGCGGCAAGGAATAAAATGCGCCCACCCCCCCAAAAATGTGCCTGGGGCAAGCGCCCCTCTGGCCTCCCCACATGACGCTACTGCATCCAACTCTGCAATTCTATGATTCTTGGGGGAAGCCATGTCTGTTAAAAGTGTTTTGATAGTGCTTTAAATGTCTGGTGTGGACGTAGTCCTAGTCTTACCCAAACAGGTCCCTCCAGAGCTGTCCACGAGTCTCTTCCTTCCTTTTTAACATACTGTATAAAGTATGTATAAAGGGACACAGGTGGCACTGTGGTCTAAACCACAGAGCTTCTTGGGCTTGCCAATCAGAAGGTCGGCGGTTCAAATCTCCGTGACAGGGTGAGCTCCTGTTGCTCAGTCCCTGCTCCTGCCAACCTAGCAGTTCAAAAGCACATCGAAGTGCAAGTAGATAAATAGGTACCACTCCAGCGGGAAGGTAAACGGCGTTTCCGTGCGCTACTCTGGTTTCACCAGTGTCATGCTGGCCACATGACATGGAAAAACTGTCTGCAGACTAACGCCGGCTCCCTCGGCCTGAAAGCAAGATGAGCGCCGCAACCCCAGAGTCATTTGCGACAGGACTTAACTGTCAGGGGTCCTTTACCTTTACCTTTATAAAGAAAAGTCACCAGCAACAAAACCAATGCCACCTGGATGCCCTTTCAGTGCTTTCAGCTCTTTGATCAGCTTTCCCATCAAGGCATTAGGTCGGACACACCTTTGGAGCTTGCACCTGTAATGTAATATTTGCTTCTTTTTTTTATAATAATGTTTATTAAAGATTTCCAGAAAAAGTTAACAACCCAACAAAGAAAACCACGAGAAAAACAACAGCGAACAAACATCAAAAAATCCCAATAGAAAAAACGCCCAAGAAAAAGAAAAATACAACAAAAAAGTTTAGTATAAAAAGAACACTCTTTCATTTTGATAACTTTCAATACCTTATTCTCATTTACTTCCACCCGCCTTCCCTTCTTGTATTCCAATTTAAAAATTAGTTCAGCAAGATCATTGACTATTCATCTTAAGCCTTTATCCTTCTCTTTATAATCTATTTATCTTGACCACTTAAACCCCTTCATTTCATTTTTAATGCCCTCAGCATTCATAAATTTTACAATGTTTTTGTAGATAAACTTTAAACTTCTTCCAGTCCTCTTCCACCTGCTCCTCTCCTTGATCTCGGATTCTGCCGGTCATTTCTGCCAGTTCCATATAGTCTATTACTTGCATCTGCCATTCTTCCAGTAATGTAATATTTGCTGATCCCCCCTTAATTCGTATGCTATAACTTGACAGTTGACAGGCTGCCAACAATAAAACCCTTCAGTTCTTTATGCATCAGTTACACATTTTTTTAGTGTTGATGTTTTTATTGGCATTTTTGTTTTATTTTTTTGTTATTCACTTTGGGATGTTTTGTGGGAAGTGATTCTTAATTCATTAAACAAATAGTATGCATAGCAGCCTCCAGATTGTAAAAATAATTTTTAAAAAGCCCTCAATGTTAAAGGAGCAGCCAGCTTTCCCTGGCCTGAAGACCAGCTCCTCTGAGCATGAGCCTCCTTACTTTCAGATTAACCATGTGGACAGCAGTCAACCAAAAAATATTTAACTCATCACACCGATCTTGGTAGGAAAAAAACATTTGACTCCAAGACATCTTCCAGCCTAGCAGCGCTTCACTCCCATCCTGGGACAGAGCTGTGTTATTCCAGAGTCTGTCAGGCTCTGGAGCTGAAGCACTTAATTAAACTCGCGTCAGGAAAGCGAGTTTGAAATAAAGCACCACCTAGTGCGCAGCCACAGCTTGGAACTTTTAAAATGCATTTACCAGACCAGTGAAACTCCACCGAATCTGCCTCTTGATTTTGGTGATGCACAAAATCGCTTTGCTGGGGAAATGACTACTGTATTTGGTTATTTCCCCGGCAAAGCGATTTTGTGCATCACCAAAATCAAGAGGCAGATTTTTAAAAGGCATTTTCCCTTCACTGGCATCTTATTCCAGAGTGCTGTAACTTTTCATGTTCTGAAGGGCTCAGTGCTATCTTTTTGACTAAATTAGGAAGGTACTTCATTGTCTCCCAAGGCAGATAAGTGCCAACAACAACAGTAAATACTTTAGACTCAGCTGGCCATCAACACTTATTTGCTGTTTACTTGTTACATTTCTATCCCACCTTTCCCCCCGAAGAGTTCAAGGTGGCAAACATAGCTCTCCTCCTCCCCATTTCACCCTCACAACAACCCTGTGAGGTAAGCTAGGCTGAGAGCGCGTTACTAGCCCAAGGTCACCCAGTGAGCTTCATGGCTGAGTGGGGGTTTGAACCCTGCTCTCCCCGGTCCTAGTCCAACACTCTTACCACTACACCACACTCACACATGCTTGTGCCTTAGCCTGCACCATTTGCTTTCCAACTGCGCGGAGAAAAACTGGCCAGCAGCCATCATTGTGACATCAGCGGATTGGCATGTGGGGAGTCCCACCCACCTGTCAAACTTGGATTGGTGTATTTGATTGGGGGGGGGGCTGGGAGAAAGAGAGAGGAACAGAGGGGGAGAGCAAGACCAAGAAGGTTCTACTCCTGTTGGCAGGATCCAGATTCTCACCCCTGCTTTAGAGAACAGGCTGCACACTCAAAGCCATTGGGCCAGAAAGCAGGGAACTGTTTCATCGTGTTCTATGTAAGTCAGAACTGCTGGATGCACATGACATGAGCGGCTGCCCAAGGATTAAGGCTTTATGGGAGATGATATATAATGAAATGAAAAAGGTATTTAAATATACCTTCCTGAAGAAACCAGAGGCCTTTCTCCTGGGCATGGTCGGCCAATTGGTGCCAAAGAAGGATAGAACTTTCTTTATGTATGCCACAACAGCAGCAATAATACTTATTGCAAAGTATTGGAAGACACAAGATCTACCCACCCTGGAAGAATGGCAGATGAAGGTGATGATATGGAACTGGCGGAAATGACCGGCAGAATCCGAGGCCAGGGAGAAGAGTCGGTGGAAGAAGATTGGAAGAAATTTAAAGACTATCTACAGAAATACTGCAAAATTAATGAATGTTAGAATGATGTTGGATTGAAGTTAAGTGGTTTTTAGCAGTAATGTCATAAAGGAATGTGTAAAAATGGATTGTTAACAGGTGATAATCTAAAGTTATAATATATTAAGATTAAAGATTAGGATAAAAACAAAGAGGGTACAGTAATTTTATACTTTAAAAGAGAGATAAATTAAATGTTGACAACACCCCATCATTAAAAGCTAATGAATGGTTGATTGCTGAACCAACTAATTGAACTGGAATACAAAAAAGGGAGGTGTGAGGAGGTCAGGGAAACAAGCAAATGAAAGATAAGATACGGAAAGATTGAATTGTTTTTAACTGTTTTTACTTTGTATTTTCTCTTTTTCTTTTTGTAACATTTTGAAAACTTTAATAAATATCTTAAAAAAAAAAAAGGACTGCTTTCTCTTGGTGGCCATCCACTCAGAGGAGCCTGCTGTGAGATCCTGGGCTAGGAGGCAGTGGTAGACGCAGAAGGGACAGCCTCCCCTGAGAGAGTCTTTATAAAAGTCTTCACCTGCAAAAAGAGGAAACAGATCTTCAAATAAAATCCAAACAATTGTTTGTTCAGTTGTTGCCATGTTAGTTCCAGTGAATAAGAGGCACACAATGAAGGCGAATTGGTAGCTTACGGTGCCAACTTTAATCTGATGGGAGAATACGCAAGTTTTGTGCATTACACCAAAGCTTTCACATTTCAAAGAAGTGACATCTTACCTGGGACATAAGCCTCCCTTGTTCATTTGTGTCATCCTCAAAATCCTTTGTGACATCAAGCAGCAAGACTGGAGCATTTCTTATGTTTTCAGAATGAATCCTGCGGGGGCAATAAGAATGTTATTTCCTTAATTCTTTTCACTATGCAATCAATATTGTGGCTTCAGTTACAGTGGGTAGTTCAGCTCACTTCCTTGAATGATCTCATCTGCATTGACTTTGAGTTGCCTCATTAATTCACCTCATTCCCTTCAGTGCACTACATGCCAAGGTTGTTGAAAGCAGAGCAAGGGGAACCTTTTGCAGACCAGGGGCCACATTCCCTTTAGACAATCTTCTCGGGATCACATACCGGTGACAGAAGAATGAATGGAAAATTTACCTTTGTGCAGTAGGGTAGTTTCTACACACACACACACACACACACACACACACACACCTCCATCATCCATCCAGACAATCAAGAGTTCAAGCTCACATTCCAGCCAGGCCAAAAAAGGGTGTGATGCAGGGTCAGTGAGGGGCGTGGCCTGGGGAATGTTCCAAGGGCACAGAGGTCTGGGGGCGCATGCTCTCTATGAACCCAAAGATTCCTGCCCCTCTTGTAATCCTCAGCTTTACTATACAGTGGTGCCCCGCAAGACGAATGCCTTGCAAGACGAAAAACTCGCTAGACGAAAGGGTTTTCCGTTTTTTGAGTCGTTCCGCAAGACGAATTTCCCTATGGGCTTGCTTCTCAAGACGAAACGTCTTGTGAGTTCTTGCGAGTTTGCTTCCTTTTTCTTAAAGCCGCTAAGCCGTTAATAGCCGCTAAGCCGCTAATAGCCGCTAAACCGCTAATAGCCGTTAAGCCGCTAATAGCCGTGCTTCGCAAGACGAAAAAACCGCAAGACGAAGAGACTCACGGAAGGGATTAATTTCGTCTTGTGAGGCACCACTGTATTGCCATCCCAGAGCAATTTGGAGATAACAGTGGCTTATACTATACAGTACAGTGGTGCCTCGCAAGACGAAATTAATCCGTTCCGCGAGTCTCTTCGTCTTGCGGTTTTTTCGTCTTGCGAAGCACGGCTATTAGCGGCTTAGCGGCTATTAACGGCTTAGCGGCTATTAACGGCTTAGCGGCTTTAAGAAAAAGGAAACAAACTCGCAAGAACTCGCAAGACGTTTCGTCTTGCAAAGCAAGCCCATAGGGAAATTCGTCTTGCGGAACGACTCAAAAAACGGAAAACCCTTTCGTCTAGCGAGTTTTCGTCTTGCGAGGCATTCGTCTTGCGGGGCACCACTGTATACCAAATCTACTCCTTGAACTGTTGATCACACTGTGAAGTTAATAAAACCAGCAATAATTAAAAAAAAAAGCCTCTCTTGCAGCTTCATGCAAGGATTGCAGATTATTACACAGAGATAGAGCTTTCAGCATCTTAAAGCATAGTGCATATGTTGACTATTATACACCCACAGTGGAGCTAAATTTTGCTGCCTTGCACCGTCACCATGACTCATATAATTCAATGGATTTCCTTGAAACAAAGCCAAATACATTCTACCTTCAGATAAAAAAAACATTTTTAAGGCACTTACTAATTCCATTACGCACATCCCAAAATGTAGAAATTGTAACTTAAGGTGCCAGCCTTAATTTCTGCATCATGTAAGCAGCAAACATTTTCTGCAATGTGCTCACCTAACAATCTAGCCTCCATGCACCCACACTCTGCCTCCGTCTTTCAGCCCCAAACTTCTTCGTCTAAGGTAACACTGAGGATCACAACACCAAAGGTCACCTCACTGCAAGCCAAACCTCTGCTTTCTCTATTTGCCTTTACTTAGGATACAGGGGGTGGTGTGTGTTTGTAGTGACAGGCTATAGTGAGGAAGGATGGGACAAGCTAGTTAATGGCCTGGCTTGCACCAAACAGTAAGTCATGGTCAGAAACAAACTATAGTTTACTATGAATGTGCCAGCAAGCCGATACGTGCTGCTCAAATCACACCCACTCTGCTCATCCATTTGCCAACTGGGAAGAAACAAACAACAGTGCTGGATTAGAGTTGTGTGCAAACACTAACCCAAACAAACCATGGGCAGAAGTCAAGGTTTGTTCTTGACTTACTAGTTTCTTTGGAGAGATGCAAACTACCAATGCTGGTTCACACAAAATGCTAAGCCAGTACTGTGGCGTTATTTACTCCCAGCTTGGCAAAGGGTGGGTGCAATCTGAACTGTGTGAACACACAAATTCACAGTAAGCCACAGTTTGTTTCTGACTATAGTTTAGTATTGCATGCAACATCAAGAGGAACACAAGTGAGGGAGACAAAGTTTTGGGTAAGTGTCTGCATCATCACAAGAAGAAACATGTCAGGATAAGAAAGGAGGAGTGCCCCACATTTATGAGTACAGTGGTACCTTGGGTTAAGAACTTAATTCATTCTGGAGGTCCATTCTTAACCTGAATCTGTTCTTAACCTGAGGTACCACTTTAGCTAATGGGGCCTCCCACTGCCGCCGCCGCACGATTTCTGTTCTCATCTTGAAGCAAAGTTCTTAACCCAAGGTACTATTTCTGGGTTAGCGGAGTCTGTAACCTGAAGTGTCTGTAACCTGAAGCATCTGTAACCCAAGGTACTACTGTAAGTAGGTAAGGTAAAGGTACCCCTGCCCATACGGGCCAGTCTTGCCAGACTCTAGGGTTGTGCGCTCATCTCACTCTATAGGCCGGGAGCCAGCGCTGTCCGCAGACACTTCCGGGTCACGTGGCCAGCGTGACAAGCTGCATCTGGCGAGCCAGCGCAGCACACGGAACGCCGTTTACCTTCCCGCTGGTAAGCGGTCCCTATTTATCTACTTGCACCTGGGGGTGCTTTCGAACTGCTAGGTTGGCAGGCGCTGGGACCAAACGGCGGGAGCGCACCCCGCCGCGGGGATTCAAACCGCCAACCATGCAATCGGCAAGTCCTAGGTGCTGAGGTTTTACCCACAATAGAATTGGGCTTCATTTAAAATGAATTAAATCATTAGAATTCACAAGCAGTGGAAAGGGGAGGTCAGACAGTCCCATGTTCTGATCGTGCTTGACATTTACTCTGCTGCCTTTGCTCGTACTATACAACTATGTAAGCTTTAAAAAAGCTTGGTTCTGAAAACTAATAATGTAGAACTGGAAAACACACTTCTTCTTTAAGATGGACATGACTAACTACAGGCTGAGAACAAGAGGACTGGGGGTGAAAGACCAAGGCAAAACATAGAAGTTCATCTGCTTTGCTTCCACTGATTAAGGTTCAGAGCTCTGTGATGGACAGGCTCTGTGTGGCAAGAGAGCTCAGCTGAGTGAAGTCATCACCACCCAAAAACTCACTGGATTCTGGAAGCTCAGTTGTAAGTGATCACAATATGCAAGGCTGTCAGATGTGTTTACTGATTAAACAGCAAGGAAGATAATATTGGGCATCTGTAATTTACAGTCTCTTCTGCTTTTTGGTGGAGAGGTGAAGTTGTAGTCGCCTTAACTGCTGGTGTAAAGCAACAATCATTCCTTCTTGCCTCTCTTCCTGCTAAATAACAGTTGGAAAACCCTAGCAATGTGTTCAGAATAAAGCATGCAGAATGAGAACATACATCTTGCAGGTTTAAAAGAAGTGCAGTAGAAATTTCTGTCCCAGTCTGTACATACATTGTATTTAAATATACAAACTTGGTTTTATTCTTAGTCACTACAGGAAGCATTCATAAATGGAACGGAATGAATAAAAAATAAAGGATGACGTCGACTTAATCCCTAGAGCAGCCTTTCCCAACTTGATGCCCTCCAGAGATTTGGGTCTTCGGCTCCCATCGGCCCCAGCCAGTGCCCCAGAGTTGATGGGAGCACAGCCATGCTAGCTGGAGCTGATAGAACCTGCAGCTTAAAACATGGGGAGAGCACAAAGTTGTAGAAGGCTGAGCTAGCTTGTGATTTCACACATCGCTCCCACTGCAGAACGGAAACTTCCAGCCTCTCTTTGGTTTGCAACAACACTGCAACTAACACGGTAAGGTAAAGGTAAAGGTACCCCTGCCCGTACAGGCCAGTCTTGCCAGACTCCAGGGTTATGCGCCCATCTCACTCTATAGGCCGGGGGCCAGCGCTGTCCGCAGTCACTTCCGGGTCACGTGGCCAGCGTGACAAAGCTGCATCTGGCGAGCCAGCGCAGCACACGGAACACCGTTTACCTTCCCGCTAGTAAGCGGTCCCTATTTATCTACTTGCACCCGGGGGTGCTTTCGAACTGCTAGGTTGGCAGGCGCTGGGACCTAACGACGGGAGCGCACCCCGCCGCGGGGATTCGAACCGCCGACCATGTGATCGGCAAGTCCTAGGCGCTGAGGCTTTTACCCACAGCGCCACCCGCGTCCCCTAACTAACACAGTAGTGGCCTGTAAACTGTGACAATGGGAAAGGATAAAAATTCTGCCAATACGTAATCCCAAATTAATCATAAAAGAGTAATCTGGATCAGGCCTGACTTACTGTTAGGAAAGCTGCTCTTGAGTGATCCAGAGCCCACTAATTGTGTCTGGTGAGCAAGAGACTGTTAAGGATCCTGGTTGGAAAGCAAATGGCAAATACACCCCATGGCCCACTTCCAAATGTTGCCTGCCACATATCTTATTTTGGGGTCTGAGTTGTGCACAGCCCAGGACACAGCATCCATCTGTACACAGCTGCCCTCCTGCACCTTGTGGTCTTTAGCCCACCCATTTCTGTGCTACCAAGACTTCCTGGTTCCTTTTGGCCCTTTGCTGCTGTTCAGCATCATAGCCCAGCAGCAGTAATGTTTAGCAGTTAAAGTGTTAGACAAGGACCTGGGAGACCTGGATGCAAATCCTCACTCAGAAGCCTTGGGCCAGTCACTGTCTTGGAGCCGAACCCACTTCACAGAGTTGTTGTGAGAATAAAACAGGGAGTGAGAGGACCACATACATCGCCTTGAGATCCTTGAAGAAAGAAGGTGGGATGCAAACAATCATCCTCATCTCCAGGTGACGGGAACTGTGGCTTGGCTGCATGCTTCTCTCTTCCGTGTGGGATCAAGTGGGTGCTCTGGCACCAGCATACACCTGCCACGTGACACAACGAGTGGGACCAAAAAGCAGAGGATCAGGCGCAGACGCTGCCTGCAGAGCCACAACTGCCTTGCCACTGAAGCCAGCTCTCTGCTGCTCTGCCTGTGACTCACTCTGTGCTCTTCTCCATGAGCCAATGTTCGTGCTGAGTGTGAAGCTGCTCCAGGTAGCGCAGCTGGACCCCCTTCTCTTCAGGCCTCCCTCTTTGGCGCAATCTTTCCATGCAGATCTGAAAGGAGGGAAAGGGAAATTCATTGGCCAGCAGCATGAACGCCAGAGCCCCACACTGCCTTAAAACTAGCAACTCCTGTTCTGCCAGAGAGGCACACTTCACTCTCACACCCAAGGAGGTTTACCAAGGGAGCAAACAATGCAAGCCTGATCCAGCCCCAAGTGACTTTCTATAGACCCAGAATGCAGCAGCTGTGAAAAAAAGCAAATTCCATTCTAGGGATCATTAGGAAAGGCATTGACAATAGACCTGCCAGGATCGTAATGCCGTTATGCGAATCTTATGATGAGACCACATTTGGAATACAGTCCTGTGTACAGTCCTCACCTCAAGAAGGATATTGTAGAGTTGGGAAAGCTTCAGAAAACAGCAACCAAGGGGATGCAGCGATCCCTTACAAGGAAAGGTTGCAGCACTTGGGACTTTTTAGTTCAGAGAAATAGTGAGTAACTGGCAACAGGATAGAAGTTTATAAAATTATGCATGACGTGGAGAGAGTGGATAGATAAAAGGTTTTCCCTCCCTCTCTCTCTCGTAACAATAAAACTCTTCAACATCCAATGAATATGAATGTTGGAAGTTTCTAGACAGACAGAAGGAAGTCCTTCTTCATGCAGCCCAGAGTTAAACTATGGAACTTGCTCCCACAGAAGGCAGTGATGGCTACAAGGCTAAAGGATTCTGAATATCAGTTGCTGGAAACTACAGCAGGGGAGAGTTTCTTGTGCTTGACCCTCGTACCTAGGGGACCGCCTCTCCTGGTAGGCCCCGCGGAGGACCTTAAGGTCCACAAATAACAACACTTTGGAGGTCCCGAGCCTCAAGGAGGTTAGATTGGTTTCAACTAGGGCCAGGGCCTTTTCAGTACTGGCCCTGACTTGGTGGAACGCTCTGTCACAAGACTAGGGCCCTTCGGGACTTGACATCTTTCCGCAGGGCCTGCAAGACAGAGCTGTTCCGCCTGGCCTTTGGTTTGGACTCAGTCTGACCCTTATGTTTCCCTCCCCTTATGGTCTAGATTTATCAGCTACTTTAAAAATGAGGCTGCATTTTAAATTGCATTTTAACCTGTATTTTAATTGGGGTTTTTTCCTCACACACCCCCTCTTTCCCCCCTATTATGTTTTTACTGTGATTTTATTGGTGTTAGCCGCCCTGAGCCTGACACTGGCTGGGGAGGGCAGGGTATAAATATTATTATTATTATTATTATTATTATTATTATTATTAATCCTGCTTGTGGATTTCCCAAAGGCACCTGGTTGGCCACACTCACTCTCTCGTGGCTTTCCCTTTCCATGGTCTTCTCCGTTCTCCCTCTTAGATTGGAAATGCGTTCTAGGTTGCGATGGAGGAAACTGCTGTGTTTTTAGCTGGAACCACCAAGTACCACCCCTCCTTCACAATCTCATGCTCAGTGGTGTGATGTGTGTTGCATGCGTGGTGTTCTAATGTGTGTGCACACATATGTGCAGGTGTGTTGGTCATCACACCGACTTTTCTGACAATGCCTAGCATGTACTGCGGCCCCTGGAGAGCTTGCTGGTACAAAATGTGGCCCCTGGGCTAACAAAGCAGAGCCACTGCTGATGTATACAAGTCAAAACCTGCCATGATTCCTGCATTGCAGGGGGTTGGACTAGATGACCCACTGGGTCCCTTTCACCTCTAAAATTAAAGAAGCCCACCCAAACCTTCATGGACATGCTTCCTGACTGTGAGAAGGTGCACCCAGGGCACCAACTTTGAAGGAACCATTCACATCCAATGCAACAAGCCTGCCGATTTACCTGCCTTCAGCTGAGTAGAAGGTGAGGCAGCCAGAGCAATGACTCAAGACAGAGATGTAGCAGGCAGTTTCCCACATGAGTGGACCATCTGGCCTAACACTTGCTTTCAATCTTCATTTTTGTAAATCACTTTGACTTTCATTTTTGAGGGGGTGGCGAAGCGTCTAATAAACATAACAGAGGTTTCCAGTTACCTCAGGAGGTGCCCGTAGATAAAGGAAGCCATGGATGTCAAGCTGGTCCCCGAATGCTTGTTGGAGAAAAGTGTGCCAGTCCTGGTAAATTGCCCACTCAATCTCAGCCAGGTGGCCAATCTCAAACAGGTTTTTGGCAAAGACGTACCTGGGGGAGGACCGTGTAGTTAAACCACCCGCACAGCAACAAACACAGGAAGAAGAACAACAGGCAAGTCAGAGATAAATGTGAAACTTCCAAGCTCCCCAAATATTGTATTTGCAATTGGCAACCATTCATCATTACAAAATGGAAGGTTTTCCTCTTCCTTGCGGGGAAGAGGCTCCAATGGAAGGAATGGCAAAGCTTTCCTTGCTAAGGGGGCACCGTCCTTAGTTTCCCCAATTATAAGTTGAAAGGAACTGCAAGGACGTTCAACAACAATGAAAGTGTGGGAAGAAACTGCAGAGCACTCTGCACATGGAGAGGGGGCACTGAATAAGGTAAAGGTACCCCTGCCCGTACGGGCCAGTCTTGACAGACTCTAGGGTTGTGCGCCCATCTCACTTAAGAGGCCAGGGGCCAGCGCTGTCCGGAGACACTTCCGGGTCACGTGGCCAGCGTGACAAGCTGCATCTGGCGAGCCAGCGCAGCACACGGAAACGCTGTTTACCTTCCCGCCAGAGCGGTCCCTATTTATCTACTTGCACCCGGGGGTGCTTTCGAACTGCTAGGTTGGCAGGCGCTGGGACCGAGCAACGGGAGCGCACCCCGCCGTGGGGATTCGAACCGCCGACCTTTCGATCGGCGAAGTCCTAGGCGCTGAGGCTTTACCCACAACGCCAGGGGATGTACAGTTCTTTCAAAAGGCAAACATCTCCCACTTCTCTTGGCCTGTTGCTGCTGCTGCCAACTTCAGGAACAGGATTGTGGCACCATACCTATCACTATATATAGATCTCTCAAAAACCCGCACGTGGTCCCACATCTTCAGGGGCTTCACAGACAGAGGCTCCAGCTGCGCCTTCAGCCGACTCAGGCATGAGTAAGTCTGGAATGTGTAGGACCATCGCGAAGGCTCCTGATACATCATTTGAAGCAGGTTCGCAAAGCTCTGAGATGGAGAGGCCTGTGACAGGGAATAATTTAAGAGACAAGCATTTAAGAACCGAACGGAACAGGAACCACAAAACAAAGTGTGTGTTTTCTGGGGGGGACGCCACAGCAGGGCCTGTGAACCTGTGCCATGTGAAGAGATTGCAGGGTTCCTCTTCTCTTCACCTCCCTCCAGCTCAACCTTCTCCCACTTGGTGGCCTCCAGATGTTTTTGGACTCCTATCAGTCCCAGCCAGCAAGCTGGGATAAATAGAAGCACAGCACAGGGGATGGGTGGAGTCTTAAAAAATCTTTATAGAAGTTTTTTTGAACTTTATAAAATCATGCATTGTGTGGAGAAAGTGGATAGAGAAATATTTTTCTACCTCTCTCAGAACACTAAAATTCATAGGCGTTCAGGGGAGGCAAATGTTGGAAGATTCAGGAAGATAAGGCTATTGGTGGCTATATAAGCCATGCTGGCAGTGCTCTGCCTGCACAGTCGGAGGCAGCAACGCTTCTGAACACCAGCTCCTGGAAACCACAGGGGGAGAGAGGGCTGCTCTTGCAGTCGTTTCCTGCTGGAAGGTTTCCCACAGGCATCTGCTTGGCCACGGGGAGAACAGGATGCTGGACTCAATGGGCCATTGACCTGATCCGACAGGCTCTACCGGTGTTCTTATAAACTTTAGCACAGGCTTCCTCAAACTCGGCCCTCCAGATATTTCTGGCTTACAACTCCCATGATCCCTAGCTAGGCAGGACCAGTGGTCAGGGATGATGGGAATTGTAGTCACAAAACGTCTGGAGGGCTGAGTTTGAGGAAGCCTGCTTTAGCACAAAGAGGGTGACTATTTGGTGCCAAAGGAAGTTGCACGAGAGTGAATGGTTATTTTATCTGAATGATTATGTTGGTAAGAAGGCAAGTTTCCCCTTTGCTCAGAATTCTTGTACTGAAGAAGAACTCCCAGTTGATTGAATACAATATTCTGAACCAAAATAGTTCAGTTCCTTACAGGCCTAACAAGTTTTACATCTGGACTCTTACCTGGTGGGGACCAGCAGCTTGAACTTTCTGCCACTTGGACACTGGCTCCAAGGTCATGGACCATTCTGGAAAGGCTTTTCTGAGCACTCTCACAAACGTTGACTTCCCCACCGCTGGCGGAGCAAAAACATGTATGCCCATTAGCCAACATTCCTCCTTATACCGCCTTTCCAAATACAGTGGTACCTCGGGTTAAGTACTTAATTCGTTCCGGAGGCCCGTTCTTAACCTGAAACTGTTCTTAACCTGAAGCACCACGTTAGCTAATGGGGCCTCCTGCTGCTGCCAAGCTGCCGGAGCAAGATTTCTTTTCTCATCCTGAAGCAAAGGTCTTAACCCGAGGTACTATTTCTGGGTTAGTGGAGTCTGTAATGTGAAGCGTATGTAACCCAAGGTACCACTGTACAGTGGTACCTCAGGTTACATACGCTTCAGGTTACATATCCTTCAGGTTACAGACTCTGCTAACCCAGAAATAGTGCTTCAGGTTAAGAACTTTGCTTCAGATATACTTCCGGGTTAGCGCCATCGGCAATGGCGGAGTTCCTCTGACCGAGAGGAACCCGCTCCGTGAAAATCGGGTCTTGCCGCCGCGGCGAAGGCGGAGACCCTTTAAAAATCCCAGGCGGAGGAAGCCTGGGAACGTGGGATTCGGCTGACACCAAGAGCGCCTCCCCTACTCGCAGGGAAACCCTTTTTCGGGGTTCCGAAGCGACGTGGGGTGAGTGGCGCGGTGTTTTGAATCGACCGCTACTTTTACGGAGTGAAGCCGCACAGCCGTTGCCGGAGAGCGCTGACTTTTTTCCTGTGGACAATTGGACTTTAAACAAGTATCCGTGAGTAGAACGGAAAATTGGGCTACGAAACATTTTAATTTGGCACTGAAGCGGGAAGGTTCTAAACAGGAAGTCCGCCTTCCGCTTTTGTAAATAGACTGAAGCAAAAATTTTGCAAGCGAAAGTCTGGAAAGTCGTATATAAAGGACTAAATTTCCTTCAGTTATAACCATCAAAACCCCTCTCGGAAGCAGGAGAAGAGGGGGGGGGGAATTTTAGATTGTTCAAGCCTGCAGGAGAGAGAGTGAAGAAAGATAAATTTCCACCGTCTCAAACCTGGGAACGGGGTGTCAGAGACAGAAATTTCTGGGGAAGTTCATTGACTGTGAATGGAACGTCTTTTGACAGGTAGTTAAAAAAAGAGAAACAAATTGATTCCAATGTTGCCTTTTGCACTCAATAGAAACAAAATATTTGAAAAATGAAAGTAATTTTCTTTTGTTGGACTTGCTTTCAAAAGATGGATACAAATAGAAATTGTCTCCTCTAGAGAGGGAGCTTGTTAAACTGTTGCAGGAGTCGATCTGGGGATTTCACAGCTGTGGAGATTAGGGATCGTGAGACCAGACTCTGACCTTGGATAAAAATGTATTTAGAAGAAGTTTTGGTGCTTGCTTTTTGCAAGACAAGTGCTTTGTTGGAGCAGCTTCATGAGAAGATGGATTTGATGACTGTTGCAGTCAAAAACTTTGGACAAACAGTGAATACTCATATAGAAACCATTCAGGAACCAACCCAGGAATCTGTTTTGACAGGGCAAGTGCAAGTGCAGAAGATAATGGAGGAGGTTGCGGTTGAACCTCAAGTAACACAAATGGAGAGACCTGAGGCCTTGCAGGAGCATGGGCTGCTGTTTTTGAGGACTGAATCTGGAGAAAGTCAGATATGGAGAGAGGGAGTATCGTCTGGTTGGGAGTTGGGAAGTTGGATGGATCCCCCTAGGCAGGGACGTTTTGGTGCTTGGGATTTGGTTTTGGGCCAGGGGGGGTCTGGAGTTGTGGGGGCTCTCAACTTTGGAGGGACTTTGAAACATGCTTTTAAATACTTTCTGGACTACAGTGCTGACTGTGGAGAATGGGCTGATCTGTTGAGGGGAGACGGAGATATTCTTGGGTTGGAGTCCCCCCGAGACCTACTCCTCAATGAGAAAGGAAAGAAATTTAAAAAAAGATCAACAAAAGACAAGGTAAAGTGCAGGTATAAACAAGAAGATGATCTGCAGAAGGGACATGGAAAAGACTTAAGAGCCTCGGACATAAGATTACCAGGTTGATGGACTAGATGGAATGGACAGTAAGGACTGACATAACCCGAGACCAGGAAGAAGAGACGTTGGGTGAAGATTGGAAGAAAGTTTTAAAAAAATTATTTTGAGAATTAGTGTAAAATTAATGAGTATTAGGAAAAATGTTGGAATGAAACTATTTGGCTTTAGTAGAAATGATATAAGGAGTTATGTATAAATAAGTATTAAGTTTTAAGTTTTAAGGTATTTTATGGTAAGATAAGGCTAAAATAAATTAAGGTAAATTGAATGACAGAATATTGTGAAAGATGGAAAGGATTTGCCGAGTTAATTAATAGGTTAGACAGTTAAGATAAATTATTCAACAAAAATTGAGAAAGATGGAAAGAATTTGCTGAAACAATTAATTAAAATAGAATACAAAAAGGGAGGTGTGAGGAGGTTGATGAAACAAGTAAATGAAAGATAAAGATATGGAATATTGGATGTGTGTTTTAATGTTATTGTTCTTTTTTGCTGTATTGTTGTATCGGTTTTTTTATGTATTGTAATGTATGTCTTGTTAAATTTGTTGTTGTTTTTTTCTTCTTTTTTCTTCAATTTTTAAACTTCTAATAAATATCATTTTTTTAAAAAAGAACTTTGCTTCAGGATGAGAACAGAAATCGTGCTCTGGCGGCGCGGCAGCAGCAGGAGGCCCCATTAGCTAAAGTGGTGCTTCAGGTTAAAAACAGTTTCAGGTTAAGAACAGACCTCTGGAATGAATTAAGTATTTAACCTGAGGTAACACTGTATCAGCAAAAGGAAAAGCAACCTCATTCTGCTTACGTTGTGCAGAGAATGAGCCGTGGAGATGGGATGTAACATTCACACCACACACTTGGAGCACATGGCTTCCCCCTAAGAATCATTCTGGCAAACAGCTCTGAGGGGGTGGGGTTTCAGTCAAGCAGCATATAAATTTTATGAAATAAATTAGAACGTAAGAAGAAGAGCCTGCTTGAATCTGGGCAATCTGGTCCGGCATCCTGTTCTTACTGGGGCCAGCCAGATGCCTGTGAGGCCTGCAAACAGGATTCAAGCAACAGAGCACTTTCCTCTCTTGTGGTTTCCAGGCGCTGGTGTTCAGAAGCCCTGCTGCTTCCGGCTGTGGAGGCCAGCAGCCATGAATTTGTCCAACCCTCTTCTAAAGCCACCTAGTTGGTGACCACTGCTGCCTCCTGTGGAAGTGAGTTCCATAGTTCCATACATGCTGCATGAAGGAGGACATTTTCCCCCCTGCCCTGAATCTTCCAACACTCAGCTTCATTGGATAAAGAATCCTGGGACCTGTAGTTTGCTCCTGAAAGAGCTACAGCACCCAGCACTCTTAAGTGACCACAGTTCCCAGGATTCGGATGCCATGTGCTTCAAACGTATGGTGTGCATGTGACCCACTTCGCACCTCACCCTGGCCCCACTCCCCTTCTGCATATTATGGGGCATAATAATACCGCCCAACCTAACAGTGCTCTTGCAACCACCACCAAGTTCCATTCACTTCTGAACACTCGCGGAGGCACCAGTTCACGCTTTAACCTTTTTAGTTGATGGTATTATATGGATTGCAACGGTTTTACTTATGATTTGTGTTATGTACTGAGTTGAATAGGATCCAAACTGCAGCAGCCTGATTGGTCCTAGAACAATAGGATCCAAAAGGCAGCAGTCTGATTGGTCCTAGAACAATAGGATTCAGAATGCAGCAGTCTGACTGGTCCTAGAACAATGCAGCAGTATGATTGGTTGGCAGGAACTACCCAATCATGCTCCAGTTAGAAGTGAATCCACAACCTGATTGGCTTACAGTAGAATTCCGGAATTAGCCAATCATGTGCAGCCCATTGTGTAAATAATGTATATAAAGCAGATACTCTGAGGGGACTTCGATTCATTCCTCCTCACCACTATGAGCTGAATAAGAGCATGAAATCACTTTGCGACTCTGAGTATATTTCAATTTGTTATCTGTTCTATATGATTTGTGTTGAGTTTGGACTGTTATTTACTGTTTGTAACTGCCTGCTATTCATCTGAATGAAAAGCAGCCTAGAAATATAGTAAATAAATCAATCACCACCCAACCAAGATCTTCCCTGGAGGCTGGCCAAAGCCCGAGACTGCGCGGCTTCCCCAACTGATGCAAGACGGGGAGTGGGGCGGAACATTGCTCCTAATGCGTATATCCTGCAACCGTGCAAGGGCCCTGGTGCAACCGAGGCAATAATAAGGCTGCCTCTGAGCAAGTGCAGAGTTCCTCCTCCCCCCCCCCACCTCCGGCTGGACGGGCGCTTCCAAGTCGCAGGATGGCGCTGCCGACATACAATGGAAGAAAAGACCCCCCGAGCTCCTCCTGCGCCCCCTCCCCAGACCCCTTACCAATGTTTCCTTCGATGGCGAGCCTCTTGCCGGCCTCCCGCGCCGCAGCCATCGCGCAGAGCCGCGCCAGCGAGCGCCCAGCTGTCCGGAGGCGCAGCCCAGCTATTGCGCCTGCGCCACCGCCCTGCCGAAGTCGCTCGTGTCTTTCCGGAGCCCGCCAAGCCCAAAGGGGCCCAGTTCACTTTGTTCCGGGGCAGCAGTACTCCCGCGGACGGCCATTTGCGGGGCAGGAGGGTGTGCTTGTTGAATGCGGCACCCTGGAGTCATGTTTTGAGAGGATCCGGCGCCTGCAGCGCCACCCCGTGCATGTCTCCTCGGGAGTAAGCCCCTCCCCCTGCGGTGCTCGGTAGCGTAGCCACCTCCTCTCTCTGCAGCCTGTAACCAAAAAGCACGAGGGAGTCCACTTCTCCTCTCAAAAGCTCAGGAGCAGAAAGGGTGCCATTCGGCAAACTCTGCCTTTCTGGGATATAAAACAGCTCGGAGCATTTCCTGGTACGCATTTGAGTGGCATTTCACAGCTCTGTGCCACAGAGTTAAAAACAGGAGTTCTAGAGAAGAAAAGTTGCGAAAGAACCGGAGCCGGCCCACCCATTAGGCGGAATGAAGCAGTCGCCTGAGGCAGCAGAAGAGCAAGAGGCTGTGCCCCACCTGTGGAAGGTGGGGGGGGGGGGCAGGAGGCAGCACATCGCCCTGCTCCCTTTGGTGATGTGTCAAGCCCCCTTCATGTGTCAACTGTGCAAAGGGGTCTCCACCCAGTGGCGTAGCGTGGGTTGTCAGCACCCGGGGCAAGGCAAGTAATTTGCGCCCCCTAGCGCCTAGGACTTGCTGATTGAAAGGTCGGCGGTTCGAATCCCCGCGGCGGGGTGCGCTCCCGCTGCTCGGTCCCAGCGCCTGCCAACCTAGCAGTTCGAAAGCACCCCCGGGTGCAAGTAGATAAATAGGGACCGCTTATTAGCGGGAAGGTAAACGGCGTTCCGTGTGCTGCACTGGCTCGCCAGATGCAGCTTGTCACGCTGGCCACGTGACCCGGAAGTGTCTGCGGACAGCGCTGGCCCCCGGCCTCTTGAGTGAGATGGGCGCACAACCCTAGAGTCTGTCAAGACTGGCCCATATGGGCAGGGGTACCTTTACCTTTAACCCGTGGATTTGCGCCCCCTAACCCGTGGATTTGCCCTAACCCCAGATGTTGCGCCCGGTGCGGCCGGGCCCCCCTGCACCCCCCACGCTAAGCCACTGTCTCCACCAGAGCAAGGGGCCCATGCCGCTGGCCATGTTCCAGATGCTGCCCTTTCCCCAGCCTCCACCCTAATGGCCACACCCTGGACATAGGCAGCAGGGGCAACAGGTAGGCTTCCCTGAGGCAGGTGGCCACATCCAGCATGTGGAGGTTGGAAGAGGGCCAGGAAAGCCACGCAGCACCTGGGGTGAGGCCAGTGCTTGCACCGAAGAAGACCCCTTGGCACAACAAATGTGTGAAGGGGCCTTTCCAGTCTTGCTTCCGGTGAAGTGCAGAAGATGCAGCCAGCTCGGTTCCCTGCAGATGTTGTGGGCTGCTGTTTGCCATTGGTCCCAGCAAGCATGGCCAATGGTCAGCAAATTGAATAAAATAACACAACACAATGGCCAATAGCAATGGCATTAACACTATTTAATCAGAAATTGCAACTAAAGTCTCTAAACCTTCACCAGTCACAGCAGAATAATTCAAAAGTTTGATATATACATAGGTAAAGGTAAAGGGACCCCTGACCATTAGGTCCAGTCGTGGCCAACTGGGGTTGCAGCGCTCATCTTGCTTTATTGGCCGAAGGGAGCCGGCGTACAGCTTCCGGGTCATGTGGCCAGCATGACTAAGCCGCTTCTGGCGAACCAGAGCAGCGCACAGAAACGCCGTTTACCTTCCCGCCAGAGTGGTACCTATTTATCTACTTGCACTTGGATGTGCTTTCGAACTGCTGGGTTGGCAGGAGCAGGGACCGAGCAATGGGAGCTCACCCCGTCGCGAGGATTTGAACTGCCGACCTTCTGATCGGCAAATCCTAGGCTCTGTGGTTTAACCCACAGCGCTATCCGCGTCCCATAATCTGTCATCAAATATCGCTGGAACAGAAGTTTCCGGATAACCAATCTGTTTCATTCAATGCTTCATCAGCCAATCTTAATCAATTCTTCATCAAGATTATGTATATATCAAACTTTTGAATTACTCTGCCACCACTGGTGAAGATTTAGAGACTTTGGTTGCAATTTCTGATCATTTGGATTAGTCTATAAATACAGTAGTGTTCTGTGCCATTGTTATTGGCCATCGTGTTGTGTTATTTTGTTCAGCTTGTCTATATTGCAACACGGGGGTCTGTTTATGGATTAATGGTCAGCAAATGGCAACAGCTGCAGTCCAACATCATCTGGGAGGCACCACATTGGCTACCCCTGCTTTAAGATATGTAGAAATGTTTCCCACATGGCTTGTATCCAACTAAGCACTGCTCACAGTAAACCTACTGAAATCAATGGACATAATTTAGGCCCATTAATCTGAGTGTGAGTAGAGCTTACCACCCCATCATTGCACATAACATGCTTTTTCTTTGTGTGAGTGTGTGTGTGTTCACATGCCCAAGACGTCGTACATGTGACTCTAGAGTAGGGTACCCACTAAAGGCTGCTGGCTCAGGGACCAACATGGTCTTGATTCAGCCCTCTTAAGATGCCACATGGCTTTGTTGTTTTTCATGCAACAGGCTAGCATCTGAAGTACTGAATTTTCAGGTAAAGGTATATTTCATTTGAACAACCACCACTTCTCTGAATTGCATACATTCACTTTATAAAACATAAATAAGTTTACTCAAGAGCAAGATGTGAAGATCAATGGCATACAAAAGACCTAACCACTGTATTTCATGCTCTGGTAACTTCCAGGCTAGATTATTACAATGTGCTGTACGTGAGCTTGACCTTGAACGACTCAGCGACTTCAATTGGTCCAAAATGCAGCATCCAGATTATTGGCTGGGGTTCGGTTTAGATCTCATGTAGCTGCTGTTTTGAAACAACTGAACTGGTTGCCAGTTCATTTCTGGTCCCAATTCAGGGTCATCACATCAACATTTTAAGCCCAAAAGGACTCAGGCCCCAAATATCTGAAAGAGACCACCTCATTGCTGCAAACAGTTTTCTAGTGTCAACAGAGCAGGCCCTCTTGGTAGTTCCACAACCCACAGAAGTTTGGAGTGGTGGTAAGCCAGGAGAGGGCATTCACTGTGGCAGCCCCTAAGTTGTGGCATTCCTTCCCCACAGAGGTACACCTGGCCCTTCACTATATAGTTTCCATTGTATGCTGAAGACGCATCTTTTTACCCTAGCACCTTTGACACCTAAAATGTATATTTTCAGAACCCACACTGTTTTTTAAAAACTGTTGTGTGTTTTAAAATGGTATTTTAAATTGTTGTAACCTGCCCTGAGCCTTAGGGTGCAAAGTAGATTACAGCAGCAACAACAACAACAACAGGGGACAAAGTGCTACAGGCAGAGTTTGAAAAACGTTTTAATGCTTATTGAAGAGTTAGAAAGAATTGCAAAAGGAGGAGGAGGAGGAAGGAGTCTCCATGCTCTAGAAGAATCTAGCTCTGGCCTCTAGAAGCACTTCCGGTGGACAATTGAAGGACCAGCCTCATCATATTCTGGTTTGCTGATCCACATCTGCTGGAAGGTGGAGAGAGAGGCCAGGATGGAACCACCAATCCAAACAGAATATTTACGCTCAGGAGGAGCAATGATCTGTGAAAACATTTGTAGAAGAGGGTTAATGAGTGACATTTTTGATGGTCATTTGGCTACCGAATAAGTAAGGTGTGAGACTGAGCACAAACAAAAAGTCAGTTCTGATCTGAGAAAATGTCAAGACCCACAGCTATCATCAGATATATGCCAACTACTTCAGATAGTATTAAATTTTGGATTATTTCCATAGGCATGTCAGTGGGCCAACACCCATCAGAGCATAACAGCAAAGAGTTCCCTGTGGTTGACGGTTGGAAGGGGCACAGTTCCAAAAACTCATGGGTAATCCCCTCCCCATAGCACACTCATGGATCTTTGTTCCCATCAGTATGTGCTGTCCTGCCAGGTTGCAGGTGGGATGGGGCCAGGCGGCTGCTAAGGGACAGTATTTCAAACCCTGAAAGAAAATAGGGCAGACATGCCTTTATCTTCATTGTGCTGGGAGCCAAGGCTGTAATCTCCTTTTGCATTCTGTCTGCGATTCCAGGGTACATGGTGGTGCCTCCAGAAAGGACGTTGTTGGCATAGAGGTCTTTGCGGATGTCAATGTCGCACTTCATGATGGAATTGTAGGTTGTCTCGTGAATGCCAGCAGATTCCATGCCTAGGAGGAAGGGTCCAAAATCAGTAGCTTGTCCCCAGTTCAGATGGGAACTCAGTAAGATGAACTTCCTCTGGCAGTTCAGCACTGATCACTACCCAGCTGATAGGTACATAGGAAGAAACCCTCACACTGAGTCAGACTATTGCTCCATCTAGCTCTGTATTGCCTATATTGACTGCCAGCAGCTCTCCAAGATTTCAGAGAGGGGAGACTTCCAGTCCTACCTGGAGAAACCAAAGACTGAACCTGAGCTATTCATTTGTTTCATTGCATTTATAGCCCACCATTTTTTCCGAAGGAGTTCAAAGTGGTGCTCATGGTTCTCTCCCTTCTCGTTTTATCCCCACCAAACCATGTGAGGTAGGGTAGACTGAGAGGCTGTGCTTGGCCCAAGGTGAGCTTCATGGCCCAGTGGGTATTCGAACCCTGGTCTCTTCCAGTCCTAGTCTCACACTCTAACCACAGCACCACGCTGGCTCTCTTTTCTGCATGCAAAGCAAGTGCCTCAACCACTGAACTAGGGTTGGCTTTGATGAAATTTTGGAATTAAGTTCCTTTCTGGGGAGCATGTTTCAAACATCTTTGCATCCTCTCCCATCAGAGCCTTTGTAGTCAACTGGCAAAAGCCACTGCTGTTGGTTTGCCTTTAAGAGCTGTCGCTGTTTCACTGGGCTTTAAATACTACCTTCTTTTAAAAATTGCCATGGTTTGTAATTTTATTGTAGTGTA